CTCTAAATTCCTTGAGTAACCTGCCCTACAAAACGAGATGAACTGTTCACTCAAGTTTCAGTGGTTACATAGTGATTACAACTTAAAGGGCCCATTTCATATCAGATTTTTATTGCTTATATAAATTAAGAATAGTGATATGTAAACTTTTTTTTGACATGTCTGTTGCACTTTACATTGTGTGTAAGTTACATGATAATTGGGCCAAAAGAAATGGTCCGAGGGAACTTGGAAAAAAGTCCGGTTCCACAGACTTACATTATAAATAAAAAGCATGTTTTTCTTTCTCCTGTAAATTTATATTGGAGATATGATGTTTTGTTCCGAGAGCAGCGATATGGAACAAACAGCCCATTCTGAATTCATTGTAGTTGTCAGCATACAGCAGTTTAGCACCGCCCATTCCCACTGAAGTGACACGAAGTGTTGTTCCTGCAGAGAGTCTGAGTGGAAGATGTGGGGAATCGCTTAAACGTTGTGCTGTTCCTGGCTGTCAGGAAGTAAATGGATCACTGCAGCGTTCCAAAGGACTGTTCAAAAATGTTATATTTTATGTTTTTTTTCCAATGTGTGAAAGACAGTAAATAAACAGACATTGTGCACTAAAATTTGCATAAAAATGCCATATTTAAGTCTATGTACACCAATCAGGCATAACATTATGAGCACCTCCTTGTTTCTACGCTCATTGTCCATTTTATCAGCTCCACTTACTATATAGGTGCACTTTGTAGTTCTACAGTTACAGACTGTAGTCCATCTGTTTCTCTGCATACTTTGTTAGCCCTCTTTTACCCTGTTCTTCAGTGGTCAGGACCCCCATAGACCCTCACAGAGCAGGTACTATTTGGGTGGTGGATCATTCTCAGCACTGCAGTAACACTGACGTGGTGGTGGTGTGTTAGTGTGTGTTGTGCTGGTCTGAGTGGATCAGACACACAGTGCTGCTGGAGCTTTTAAACACCTCAGTGTCACTGCTGGACTGAGAATAGTCCACCAACCAAAAATATCCAGCCAACAGCGTCCTGTGGGCAGCGTCCTGTGACCACTGATGAAGGACTAGAGGATGACCAACACAAACTGTGCAGCAGCAGATGAGCTATCGTCTCTGACTTTACATCTACAAGGTGGACTGACAAGGTAGGAGTGTCTAATAGAGTGGACAGTGAGTGGACACAGTGTTTAAAAACTCCAGCAGTACTGAGAATGATCCCCTCACCCAAATAGTACCTGCTCTGTGAGGGTCCATGGGTGTCCTGACCACTGAAGAACAGGGTAAAAGGGGGCTAACAAAGTATACAGAGAAACAGATGGACTACAGTCTGTAACTGTAGAGCTACAAAGTGCACCTATATAGTAAGTGGAGCTGATAAAATGGGCAATGAGTGCAGAAACAAGGGGGTCATAATGTTATGCCCGATCGGTGTATGCTAGCATGCTAGCATATTAGCATATCTGAATCTGCTCACAAAATGGTGCCACAGACGCTGACAAAATGTACAATCCTAGTGAATAGAAGTTACCATTGGGGCTGGGTATCATTCAGAAATTCTATATCTTACATCTACTGTGCTCATTTTTGGAGTTACTGGTTCATATTTTGTTTTTTTGGTGTCACTGACTATCATTTATTGTGGGCTTTAGTTATCGGTCTTGTGTGTTTCCCTCTCCTTCAACTAGCTGCTGCTTATGCTACACTGTAAAGATGTTCTTAATGACTCGTCTTATTAAATTGGAGGTCAAATTTATCATAAAAGATTCATGAACATTATATGTTGTCTTTTAAACTAAAAATGAAAGTGAGTGTGACTTGAACCAGAAATGAGATTACGTTTAATCCACCTTTTAAATATTTTAATATGAAACAATACTAATGTAGAAAGAGGTTTTATAGATTTGGGGAAAAACAATGTTGACCGTGTTTGCATGGCTTACTGCGGAAGCCCATTCTCACCACTTAAAATAAAAAAAAATCCACCACCTAATTTAATTTTTTTTCATTATGACGTGAATTGTCATGCCATTATTTCGTGATATTCTGAAAAACTCTCACATTATTTTGAGATACTGTCTAATTTTTTGAGACGCAAAGTCACTATTTTGAGATATCATTTCATTATTCTGAGAAATGTTCTCATTATTTTGAGAAACTATTATTTTCATCTCAAAACCATAAACCTCAAAATAATCACTTCATAAACCCTGTCAAAATAATAACTACGAATTTCAAATTAAGGATAGAATATCAAAATAATGTGATAGTATTGCAAAATAATGGCACAGCAAATCACCTAATAATTCAAAAATAATAATTGGGTTTTGTTTATTGGACTTGTTTAGGTGGCGGTAACAGCTTACTGATAGTATATCAATGAATACAAAATTCCATGGACACAAATGGGCATTAATAGCAAATATATACATGATTTTAGAACAAGTATTATTGGCTCACGGATGCAAAGACTGACTACTTAGGTACTGAAATTTGATACTGTTGACAATTAATTCATTAATATTGAAGTATTTTCGGTACCCAGCCTTTGTTGTTATGGCGAACAGATATTGTTTTTCTTTGAAGTTGCACCCCGACTGATGGTAAAAACACATCACAGTCTTTTGCTGCTTTCCTTTCACTCATTAGGAATGTCAATGACCAGCTCAGCTTCTTCTCCCTCTCCTCTCTCCTCCTCTCCTCCATCGCTTTCTGCCTCGCTCTCTCCTTCTTCCTCTGCGGCGTCTCCACTCAGCATCTGCCGCGGGACCCAGCTGAACGGGCCGGACGAACCCGCGCCCGGAGCGCCGCCTGCTGGGTAATTAGAAGCCAAAGGAGAGACAACCTGAGGGAGGAGAGATTGAGACAGACAGAGGACACTGTGACAACGGAACAAAACAAGGTGTTTGGTTTCCCTTTAAGTGACCGTTCAACTAAAAATCTAATTCACGCAGTTCCCACATTGTCTCAAATAGAGCCGATTAGCAAGGGCATAACTGGCGTCTGAAATTAGTTTCTTTAGTTTTGCACTGGAGCCTCTGGAGGCTAATGTGGCTAAGTGAAGCTTATAACCTGCCAATTAGCATGATGCTAACTTCAGGCCTGTTAGAGAAAGTAATCTTCAAAGGAAACTCCAGCTACTATGAAAAGTGTAAGTTTTTGTAAACAAGCTTACTGGCATCCCACAGCATGGACGTGGCAAATGGTGGTGCTGAGGGGGCTGCAGCACCCCCAGATTTCAGGACGGCAACTGCTAAAAGCAATTATAATAATACAGAGACCTGACCTTCATTTGAGCATAGCAAAGACCCATTTTTGCTTGTTATATTTCTGCATGTCCTTCTACGCCTATGCCGCACTGGTGTCAGATGTGGGATAGTGCCCCTCTCAGGGGTCTAAAGTGGAATGACACTTCAAAGTACTTCAACGTGTACAGCAAGAAGACAAGAGCCTGACGAAAGACCACGGGGGACAGCTGGGCAAATCTTGATGCCAGAGGTGGTGCTGTAAGGCACGATCGCGGTGCCGGCAAGATGGACACCAGCAAAAATGTACGTAATCATCTTCTGTAACAATAATGCTTTACAGACCATTATATCTCCAGCTATGTATGATTTCCAGTGTTAAACCTCACTGTGTGACTTTGGTTGCCGCGCCACATGTCAACAATCTGACTGGTCACCGCTCAGCTCATTTGCATAAGTATGTCCATAATGAGAGCAGAGTGAGGATGTGCATCAGTGGGCGCATGTGTCAGTTATATGCATATCTTGTTGTTTCTTGCCTCATTATAGTGCTCTATAGTGACGCATTCTGACTGATGTAAATTATCAAAAAATAAAAAATACGAAATTATTTTGTATGATGTCATCATTCATGTCATCTGAATGCTGCTTGCAATTTCAGGACCCCCAACTTAAAACACGTTCCCGCATCCCACAGCGGTGCTGCAGTAGTCTCTAGAGTCAGATTTTCCCATTTTAAAGAATGGGAAAACTAGGAAAACCTTGTGATGATGTACCTTGGATTCTTGAAAAAGACTGAAATGCTTTCTTTTTTCCTCCCATTAGTTAGTGAATGCAGAAGAAAGGCAGATAGCTAACGTTACTGCATGGAAGCTGAATATCTTATTGCAGCTGTATAACTGTTGAAATGGTATACAAGTCATCACTGCAATGGAGGCAACGTCTTACTCAAACGACAGAAATGACTCGGCAGATGAAGAGCACAACCAGCTGGCTATCTAGATATCTTACCTCAGTTAGGATTCTTTTCTCTGGCTGGAAGCACAAACACATTCAAGTGCTGAATAAAAACAGAATCACTGTTCTCTATGGCTACGTTTACACAGCAGGTAAAAGTGGCCCAAATCCGATTGTTTTCTTCATATGTGACACACGTGTCATCTGTGTGTCAGTGTGAACAGATAAACACACTGAATCTGACATTTTCAATTCCGATTTGAGATGCTTTCATATGTGGTACTGAAATCCGATACGTATCCGATCTGCGGGTCAGTTGAGGAGCATGATCTGTTCAGACTAATGTTACATATAGGTCACATTTAAAAGATAATGTGAACAGCCAAACAAAAAAATCGGATTTGGTGAGAAAATCAGATTTGGGCCACTTTTACCTGCTGTGTAAATGCAGCCCATGGTTTTGTTTGATGACTGAAATAAGAGGTACACTAATGCAGGCTCTTTTTAGCCTAGAGATCAGTGGCTAGGCTAGTTAAGTATTGGTTAGAACCTTAGAGATTCCCAATGGTTGTATGACATATTTGCATAATGCATGCTGGGTATTGTAGTGAAAGAACAAAAACATGAACGCAATATAGCATTAGAAATTTATGACAGCTTCTGAAACCACATGAGCAAGTCTATTAGAGATACTTAACAACACAGTTTGCCTCTCAGCTCCAGGCAAAACTAAAGAAGCAAACTTCAAAACATGTTTTGGCTGATCGACTACATTTGGGATGAGAACTGTATAATTGTGATTATCACTTTAATGTAATTGAGAGCAAAAATGGGCCAAAAAAATGTTCTTAAAAGAAAAGATTAGTCACCCCAGGCATCCATGTTCTCTTTTCTCTCTATATACACCTCCCTCTCTTTCTCTCTCACCTTTCCTGCAGGCTCTTTCCTTGGTTTGGACGGTTTTGTTTTTCTCTCTTTCTTCACTCGCTCAGCAGAGGGAGCCAAATAGTCAGGAGGGAAGGGTAACTGTTCACCACACACGCACATATCCACACATACAGTGCCCACCCAAGATGATGTGTGTGATTCCAGCAGTCCAAAATAAGCAGATGATATGGTGAAGGGACAACAGAAAAGAGAAAGGAAACAATGAATGAATATAATGCCAAAAATAACAAATAACAGAAATAATATGCAAAAAAAATATATCAAAAGCCATGAGCTGACATGTGATGAGGTGGATGTTAGAACTGAATAATTAATTGAAAGAGCTGCAATTTTAATTATATCCTAAATATATCCTTGTTACACTGTTTTAGCAAGTTTTTAAGGGCATTTTTCTTCTATTTTCTATTTTTTGATGATGTTATTTGTGTTGTTTTATGTACCAAAAATCATCATTCATTCATTCATAATTCATTTTTACATGACCATTTCCAACTTCTCTTTATCCCTTAGAATTAAACAGGCTGTTTTTGTTACTGGGCCTTTAAGACTGATTAATGTAAATCAGCTCTGTTCTGATTGGCTGTCTTGTATTGTGCCTCAGCCTGGAACTTAAATCCCAATACTCAGAAACATTGGACTGTGATCCCCCCCTGCAATGCATTCAGCTCTGGTGGATGGTTTGCCCTGTGCTGTGTCCCATACTGACCGTGTTGAGATACTGGGTGGGTGCCGAGGACTGAAGAGGGGTTGCTCCAGGGCGAGGAAGCAGAGAGAGATGGGGGGATGAAGCTGAAGTGATGGGTGGAACTCCAGGGCTCCGCCTCCTGGAAAGAGTGCTAAATAGATCAGATACAGCAAAACATACAACGAGAAATATATATTATTCGTTCTCACTGACTTAAAGCGCTTTTTGCCAAGAATAAAATGAAAATGTGTTAAAGAAACGTTTTGCTTGTTTCCATCCTTTTGATTTATAGCAACAGAAGTACTTTCAGAAGTACTTCATACAATAATAAAAAGCTGTATTTGACACATTTGAAACGATGGATAAATCAACGAGCAGCAAATTTACATAAGCAACATCAGAATTGTTCACAGTAGTGATGATGGGAACCAGACGTCTGAAGAGATTAATGCAGTGGTCACCAAACTTCCTCCTGGAGTTCTACCTTCCTGCAGGTTTTACCTTCAACAGAGTGACTGCACAGCTTCAAGCAAGCTAAAATGTTGCTATGCGGTTGCTATGGTATCCCAGGTTGTTACTAGGGTGTTGCTGTGCGGTTGCTATGGTATCCCAGGTTGTTACTAGGGTGTTGCTAGGTGGTTGCTATGGTATCCTACATTGTTAATAGGGTGTTAATAACAGACTCTATCATCGTAATATAAGCTGGGTGCACCAACTTTTGTACCCCATTCATTCCTATGGGGAAAAATAGTGTCATTTAACAATGACTGTACGAAAAATGTACATCTGATCAAAAAAACTGTATACAAGCACACCAATCTCTATCATACCAAACATTCCGGTGTTGGAACGGTGTTGATATCTCAAACACTGCTGGGCAAAAAATCCAGCAGAAAAATTAGAAACGAGAAGAAGAAGAAGAAGAATATAAATCTGATAACAATAGTTAACAATAATTTAAATCACAGAGCAAATGCTTTGTAATGTCTAGCAAACCAAGTTGAGCATTAGCAGTTTCACTACACACAGCAGTCGTGATGAACTCACTTCTTTCCTGCCTCTCGTTCTCTTTCTCTGGGACCCTCTCCGTCACTCTCTGAGGACGCTGTGGCATCTGAGTCTGTAATTCAAACGATAACAATCAGAATGTTTTTTGCTTAATATTATACAACAGTTAGTTCGGCCGCGCAAGCTGATTGGTTGTGAAGCGTTCTAACCGTGCTGTTTCGCCATAACATCACAAACACTGTATCACTCCGCTGAGACGCCGTTGCTAAGCAATGACTTTGACAGCTGTAGGAGGCGCTCAAACCATTTGAACGTTTTTACTTCTTACTTTGCCAAAAACAGAAAATGGACACTTTTAAGATCACGTTTGACCGACAGCCGATTTGGTCAGACTCTGAAGATGAGACGACACTAAATTCCCAAACTGTCATCACCACTGAGCAGCTTTTCAGTCGGCAGCTGTGACAGAAGAACAGCTAAACAACCTGGAATCAGCCAGAAATGAACCCAACACCATTCGCCAAACTAAATGGGCTGTAAGATGCTTTACAGACTGGCTGGAACAAAACAACATTAATACTGATCTGGCAAAAATTGACAAAACTGAGCTAAACTTGATATTGCGGCAGTTTTATGGCTCAGTCTGATTTGGTCAGACTCTGAAAAATCAGACTACACATTTGGTGAATGGTATTAGGTTCATTTCTGGCTGATTCCAGGTTGTTTAGCTGTTCTTCTGTCACAGCTGCCGACTGAAAAGCTGCTCAGTGGAGATGAGAGTTTGGGAATTTAGTGTAAGGAGCTGGAGAACAAACTGCCGGCTGTGCAGCGAGTGGGCGGAGCTCGTTACTCTGACGTAACAACAAGCTGCTTGTTAAGGAACTATAATTTGGCAGAAGGAACTGCGAACATTAAAACATATTAAACGCCGCGTTCACGGCCCAGTTTATTAATTTATTACTTTATTTATTTAACTGTTGTATAAAAGCAATGGAACACTCGAGGTCATGTGTTATCACTATAACATCATGGCTGTGATGATCTACAGCGACCAAATCACAGCCGTGATGTTATTTCACGATAACACACTCCCTCTCATGTTCTATTGCTTAAATATCACAACCTTAATACTAAAACCGCAGTTTGAGCACAAACACTTACCAGAGGAGTCTTCATCCACCCGCTCATACTGTAACAATCTGTCCAGCAGAAAACTGAAAGAGATAAGAAAGACGAGTTAATATGCATGCATATTTAAGTCAATCTGAAAAACTGACCTTTCTACCTTGTTACTTCATGTTCCTGATCATAAGTCACATAGAGAGAATACACTTAGCTTCCTCAGAGACCCTCCCTGATACTGTTTCACTCACAAATACCTCAACAGGAAAACATGCAATGATTTCCTATTCATGTTGACTTTAATTTAAAAACGAAGTACGATTATCTTAGGAGAAAAGTATTTAACCTTTTGTCTCTGGAAACCTTAAGCAGCTTTCTCTGTGCTCTTCTCAGCTCCTCCTGAAAACATTCCTGCTCCTGAAATGAAACATGGCCAAATAAATGGACGTGCATCAATGCAAACTTAAGGAAAATCCATTTAACAATAACAAACAGAAAGCAACAAATACTCACATACACCAAAAACTTTAATTTGCGCTTGAGGTTTTTGTATTTCCGCTTGTAATCCACATCTAATTCAGCCTGGCCGTTCATGTCTGCACAAAAGAGAGAATATCTGAATCAGGCTTCAGTGGACAGGTACGCATGCAAACACAGGGAATCATTAAATGAATAAGACGTAAACCAAGTCAGAAACGTTTGACGTGAAATGATCTGTTCAACAGAAATTTTAAAGTCGGAATTGTTCACAGTGGTAGTGAATGGAACCAGACATCTAAAAGCTCCCTCACAAAAAGTTATTACACAAAGTATGAAACTGAATACGCTGCCTGATGCCTGAGACACTGTTTTATGATAGTTTTGACATAATATTTTGGCATAAGCCGGAGAGGTACACCGGTCAGGCATGACATAACTCCTTGTTTCTATGCTCATTGTCCATTTTATCAGCTCCACTTACTATATAGGTGCACTTTGTAGTTCTACAGTTACAGACTGTAGTCCATCTGTTTCTCTGCATACGCTGCATACTTTGTTAGCCCCCTTTTACCCTGTTCTTCAGTGGTCAAGACCTCCATGGACCCCCACAGAGCAGGTCCAGCAGCACTGCTGTGTCTGATCCACTCAGACCAGCGCAACACACACTAACACACCACCACCATGTCAGTGTTACTGCAGTGCTGAGAATGATCCACCACCCAAATAGTACCTGCTCTGTGAGGGTCCATGGGGGTCCTGACCACTGAAGAACAGGGTAAAAGGGGGCTAACAAAGTATGCAGAGAAACAGATGGACTACAGTCTGTAACTGTAGAACTACAAAGTCCACCTATATAGTAAGTGGAGCTGATAAAATGGACAATGAGCGTAGAAACAAGGAGGTGGTCATAATGTTATGCCTGATCGGTGTATATGAGAGGTATATGTAGGTTCACTGGTAGTTTTGGATAGCAAATAACATGGCTATACTCGTGTTGTAGACATTGTGACTCCTGGTTCCTTTATCACCACTGTAAAGAAATCAGCATTCTGAATGTCTTTGTTAAGAAAATTGAAAATTGTTGAGAAAATTTGAGAACTGGGTTGAGTTCCCCTTTAACATGAAAAAAAAAATCACAATTTAATACACAGAAGCTCTGTTAGATCTCATTCACAGCTTATGGTGAATGTTAGCTAAGTAAGAGAAATACATTTGTGACAATGCTATTTTTTAAAAAAGCTATTTTTCTTTAGGGAAAACGTCAATATGTGCTGTTCCTTTAATAATCTGGATATATATTTAGAGATCAACTTATTAAATTAATTTCCACATTACTGCATAATTAAAGTAACATGTCAACAAAGTCATTCAGAGAGGTTTGGTGTGAAATGCTCTGTTCTAGCGAGACTTACAGTGTCAGAGCTGTTCACAGTGGTGGTGATAGGAACCAGACGTCCACCTCTAAAAGCTCCCTCACAGAAAGTTACTACATGAAACGGTTATAAATTTGCTGCCTGATGTCTGAGACATTGTTTTACAGTTATTTGTGATGAGGTTTTGGTCTACAACGTATTTTAATCCATTTATTTTAATCTGTTCATAGTGGAGGAACACATGAAGGGTTTTCTAAGGGCAAAATAGTCCAAAGAAAACTTATATTTTTCAAATTTATCACTATTTTAGCATCATCAACATCACATATAAAAACTCAGAAGACACCTGTAGGTCCACTGGTGGTTTTATAGCAAATAAAATGGCTTTATTTGTGTTGTAGATATTGTGACTCTTGGTTTCATTCCTCACCACTGTAAAGAAATCTGAGTCTCTACAAACGAACCGTTCCACAACAAACCACTCCGAATGACTTTGTTTATATCTCAACCACTGAATTACGAAGAAATTTTGAAAAATCGGTGGAATTCCTTTAACTCTCTCGCTTGCAGGCTAACCAGCTACACAACATTAGCTAGCTAGCTTTGCGATTTTGCACGGCTTCACGAAGCTGAAATCAGCTTCCTATTCTTATTCGACGTTTCCCGTTCCACCTTAAATGGTGCATTCCGCGCAATGTAACCTAGCTAACCTAGCGAACTTCTGCAGCATTTAAGGTGGAACGGGGAAATTGGAATAAGAAACTGACTTCAGCCTTGTCGGCTGCAGCTTCTTTGTTATGATATCTATCGGCGACGATTTTACTAAAAACTGCTTTAGCGGAGACGCAGAGGAACTAAATACGACACTGACCTGAACTGTGTCCGTTTACAGACCGAGCTGCGCTGAGAAAATTCAATAAAATGTTTAATTCTCATTCAAAGAACAGAAGCGGCTCTGTTTACTTCCTCTTACTCGCCGGATGTCCGTTATTTACAAAAAGACTTTTTGAAACAGAAAGATAGATCTGTTTACAGCATGTGTTCAATTATTATTATTATTATTATTATTATTATTATTATTACTATTATTATTATTATTATTATTATTATTATTATTATTATTATTATTTCCAACCCTTGAGGTGAACTATAGCAGTGAATTTTGAGAGACTTTTAATTTGTACAAGTGAACGCTGCGTTTATCCCGTGTTTTATTTAATGTACATTCATTTTTATGTTGTGACGTGGTACAGTGTTATAATTTTTTTTTTCCATTTTTTAAGCTGGATTCAGAGTGTATGTATGTTTTGCCAACAAGTATTAAATACTTGCAGTAATTTCTGAAAAGAGTTACTGCATACAGAAACTGAGCAGCAACACAAAAATTAATGTTAATAATAAAAATAAGAAACTGCACTGCCTGGAAAAAAAGTGGATAAATACAAATAGATAATAGGTACCTACAAATTAAAAAAATCAATAAAAACAAAGTAATTACGAATAAGGTCTTTTTGTATTTCTGTATGTGCTTTTTTTTTGCTAGTGTTTCAATAAAAAGTACAATACTCAAAGCAGAATCATGGCCTTTCCTGCATCTCTTTCTATGCCTATGCCACACTGGTGTCAGACGTGGGATGGTGCCCACCCCCCCCAGGGGTTTAAAGTGGAATTGCACTTCAAAGAACTTCAAGGTGGATGGCAAGGAAGACAGAGCCTGGTGAAAAGCCACGGCAGCAAAGACAGTGCGGAAGAAGTCGAAACAGTGGATGGCACTGCAAGGCTCAGTGCTAGAGGTGGTGCAGTGAGGCATGATGGCGGTGCCATCAGGAGACTGGCAAAAGCGAAACCATTGAAGGACATTATGCAGAGAGAGAACACCACGCCAGGTGGTGCCACGAGCCAGAGCCTGCGAGCTGATATCCTGATATATGATCAGCCTTGCTCAAACATACCAAAAGGGGCACATCAAGCGACTGGAAGTCATCCATCATCCATCTCAGGTCAGTCACTGGCAGGAGAGTTGGGGCCCCAGTGCACAGAAGTGTCACACACATCAGCGTTGATGGTGCGGAGGGTGGCAGAAAAGGGGTTGGCAACAGAGTGGAGCTCTGTCGTTGCCGCCATGCCCCCAGCTGCGCAGGACTTGATGCATTGCACTGTGGGGAGTTTCGCCATGCACAGGAGGAGCTGCGGCGGCAAAGCTGTGGCCATGGCAAGGATTTATATACATATAAATATATATGTTCTCAGTAGAACTTTACATTTGTATAAGCTCTTACTGACCTTTGCTGACTGTGACTCTGCAGAGTCTCAACAGTCAGGTAAAGAGAGTATGAATAATACATCTGTACTGATGGGTGATGCTCATCCTATTGGGGGGGCGGGGTTGCGGGGAGAAGGAGAGAAATAGGCGGTGGAGAAACATGGACTGACAATCTGACCTTTTGTATGAAAAATCAAACCCAGATTCTAACGGTGCCAAAAGGGTACATTTGCCCTCAATAGGTTTCCTTTGTTATGCTGCGCTGCTCTGAAAGCACTAATGATTTAATTCATGGAACTATTCAGAAAATCTTTAACAGACAAGCTGCTCTTTATGAAGCATAATGTCTCCTCTGTTTGCTCATAATGACACACACAGAGTGATCCATTGGCCTCTCAGAATGAAACCCAAGCCTATCTCTTTCTCTCCAAAACTGTCTGTCCTCTGACGTCGTCTCTTGTTGCAGAGGGGTAGATGGACAGAAATAGAAAGCTATTCTCTCGTTCCCATAAATAAAGCCTCACAAGCCCTCCCTCTGTTTTCCATCCTTCACTCTTGGTGTTGATGTCTGATTCTGATGAGTCAAGCTTAGCCTGTTTTAAAGCGATGGTTCAGCCTAAAAAAACTAATTTGTACATTACCTGAAGTGCAGTTAATCAGCCAAGACATGTTTAGTGTCTGAAGGTTGCTGCTTTAGTTTTGCACTGGAGCTATGAGGCTAATGTACATAACAAGTAATGGAAGCTTATAGCTTTAGCATGCTGGATCCCTAAATCATCATACTGTAGGAATAGGTTTGTGGTAGGAAAGACATTTATTGTACGTAAGTTGTTGTTGCTAGCTTAAAGATGGGCACATGTGTTACTTGCTGGGCTGTGGGATAGTTGGTGCAGTGTTAGTGCATACTGTCAGGAGAAAGTGTAGGGCTAGAAGTGACCTGTGTGCTATCTTGGCCATTTCAGCATCGCTGAGTGGAGGTTCTTCCTTGCTGCCTTTTCAACGAAAGAACATTGCCTTGCAAGCGTAATGTTTCTTACATCTTATTCTACGTCAACGCCACACTGGTGTCAGAAGTGGGAGACTGGAGAAGAATGGTCGTTCCGTGAGCTCAAGGCAGACAGCAGAGAAAACTGAGCCCAACCAAAGACTGTGAAAGAATAAGCAGTTTAAAATTTCCAGCAGCACTGCTGCATCTGATCCACTTGTATCAGCGCAACGCTCACACTTGCACCTCAGAGATTTGACACTCAATTCAGACTGGCGGTCCAGCGACTCGAGACTCAACTCAGACTCGCATCTCGGAGGCTCAAGACTCAACTCATACCCCAGAGACTTGAGACCCAACTTCAACTTTCACCAACACCTCAACTCACACTGGCACCACAGAGACTTGAGACTCAGACTTGCATCACAGAGACTCCAGACTCGACTATCACCCCAGATACTTGAGACTTGACTTGCACTCGTACCTCAGAGACTTAAGACTCAACTCAGATTCGCATGCTAGAGATTCAAGACTCAACTCAGACTCATCCGCCAGAGACCTGAAACTTGACTCCTTGACCCCTTGCACAACGCTACTTGTGACCATCCCTGACGGCCTCACTTCTGTGCATTTTAATAGACAATTGAGATTAGTCAACTCAAGTTTGAAGCAAATGTATGATGATTTATGCACGCAGTTTGCTTGCTACATGCTGGGCTTCCATTACTTAGCTACATTAGCCTTGTAGCTCCAATGCAAAACTAAAGAAGGAAACTTCTGACACTGAACATGTCTTGGGTCATTGACATACATTTGGGGTAAGGAGGAAATCTGTGTAATTTCTTTGCCTGTATCGACACTTTAATCTCAATTACTCACCGAAAAAAAACAAAACAGACCAGCATGATTTTCAAACTAGTCTATGCTGTTTTATTCTGGTCTGGTGTTGACCAGCATACCAGTATCCAAACGAGACATATTGCTGTTGTTGGACGAAAACCTTGTATCTCCATTTTGGTCGTTTTTCAGTTTTTGACATAATTTGAAAATACCTGTTACCCTCTACATTGTACATAAATCTCATGATGAATGGACTAAAAGAAATGACCCAAAATGACTCGTGAAGACGTCTGGTTCCATTGACTAATATTAAAAGTAAAGTATGTTTTTTCCTTCTCCTGCAAAGTTACCATTTTGGAGATACGAGGTTTTCTTCCGACAACAGCGACATGCTGTTTTGCTGGTGGCCAGCCATGCTGGTCTATGCTGGTTTTTCTAGCAGGGTTCTCTGATGTCACGTATGCTCTGACCTCAGCCAGGACCTGAGCAGTCCCCCACCAGTGTCTCTAGTGATTTATTACTCTCACATTGTCCCTGTCCGTCTATTCTCTTTCTCACTCGCTCTCTCTCTCTCTCTCTCTCTCTCTCTCTCTCTCTCTCTCTCTCTCTCTCTCTCTCTCTCACCCACGCATGCACACTCACCTCTTTTTGACTGTGCCCCTCTCTCTAATGTGTGACGTCCTGAAATTTCGGCTTCCTTCGCTTTGCTCTGACGAGGACACTGGAATGTACAACAATCACATGAAGGACACAAACAACAACTACAACAAGTCTCTCCTCGATGACCACAAGGTAAGAGCAACTCCTTCTTTTTAACTGTCTCAGTAAACGCAGAGGTAGTACACTTGATGCAGTGCACATTTGACCTGGGTTACTAGTCAAAGTGTGTCAAGAAGGACAATGATGTAATCAGTGAAAGCATATTATAGGGATACATATTACAGACTAAGATAATTTCCTTGACAAAATGTGTAAGTTTTTCTCCATTTACTACCTTCTAGTTAACCACTTTATCCAAACTTCTTGACAGAAAGATTGCTAGTTTCCTGTACAGTATGTTTATAACTGATGAAATTACCACATATGGGGTTGTCAGAATTTTAACTTTGGCTTTGATACCAAGTGTTCACTGTACTGAGTATCAATGACAAATAAAAGTTAAAATACTTTCCCTCTGAACCAATCTGAACTAATATTCACATTGTTACAGCTTAATTAAAATCCCATTTATTTTTTTTATTAAACCTTTTTTTTCATTGCAAATCTCTTCAAATGTTAATCTAATCAGAAGCATTCTTGCCTGAAGGGCAGATTAACAGTAAGATGCGAAATACAGTATAGTCTAACATTCATCACACTAGGTTAAAAACAAACACAATATAGCCTAACACTCATCACACTGTGTTCAAACACAAACACAATGTGGCCTGACATCCATCACACTGTTTAAACACAAATAGAATATATCCTGACATTCATCACTGTTTAAACACAAATACAATATAACCTGACATTCATCACACTGTTTAAACACAAATACAGTATTACCTGACATTCATCACACTGTTTAAACACAAATACAGTATAACCTGACATTCATCACACTGTTTAAACACAAATACAGTATAACCTGACATTCATCGCACTGTTTAAACACAAATAGAATATAGCCTGACATTCATCACACTGTGATTAAAATAAATACACTGTAGTCTCACATTTATCACGCTGGGTTTAAAGCAAATACAAAATTGATCTAACATTCATCACAGTGGGTTTAAAAGAAATGCAGTTTAGTCTAACATTCATCACACTGTGTGTAAAACAAAAGCAGCGAAGTCTAACATTCATCACACTGAGTTTAAAGCAAATACAAAATAGTCTAACATTCACCACACTGTGTTTTAACACAAATACAATACTGCCTGACATTTATCATATTGTTTAAACACAAATATAATATAGCCTGACATTCATCACACTGTTTTTAAAATAAATACAATATAGTCTCACATTCATCAATCTGTGTCTAAAACAAATGCAGTAGTCTAACATTCATCACACTGTGTTTAAAGCAAATACAAAATAGTCTAACATTCATCACACTGTTTAAAACAAAAGCGGTATAATTTGTTACTTATCATACTGAGTTTAAAGCAAATACAAAATAGTCTAACATTCATCATGCTGGGTTTAAAAGAAATGCAAAATGGGTCATATCTCACGGTGATTGTTTCCAGTAGAATTAATTCACTTTTGTTCCTGAATATGCTTCACCTGTATTGTTTAGATATGCTAATGAGTGCTTCTCTGCCGATCTGTGTTAGCATGATTAGCTATCTGGCAGAATACAATGTCAACATAGTGCTAGCCTGTTTAATTAAATGTAGTAGCACTGATCTTTCAATACATCAAACACGAGCCACATATTGCAACACGCAAAGATCACTATGGTTCTATCCTCTCATACCTCCATTTGTGTTATAGGGGAAGCTGATTCAGGCTATTAAGAAGATTAAACATGAAATCGATGAGTGCAATGAAGCTGAGAAAGACACCTATGCGGAGGCCATGGATGTGGAGGTAAAATCAAGATTTCTTACAGAGAGTAAATGATGCATACCATGCATTCATTTTCAAGGCAAGGATGCAGCATTGCAAAATGGATACAAATACAACCCCATTTCCAAAAAAGTTGGGACACTGTGCAAAATGTAAATAAAAAGAAAATGCAATGGTGTGCAAATCATTTAAACCATATATTTAATTGAAAATAGTACAAAGACAACATATCAAATGTTGAAACTGAGAAATCTTATTGTTTTTTGAAAAATATATGCCCATTTTGAATTTGATGCCAACAACACATTCCAAAAAAGTTGGGACGGGGCAACAAAAGGCTGGTAAAGTTGTGTAATGCTACAAAAAAAAAACACCTGCTGGTTGATTGACAACAAATCAATAACATGATTGGATATAAAAAAGCATCCCAGAGAGGCTGAGTCTTTCAGAAGTAAAGATGGGGAGAACTTCACCACTTTGTGAAAGACTGCACAGAGGCCTGTATGCAAGGGACAAGGCCAAAAAACAGTATTTGCTGGCCATGATCCTCAGGCCCTCAAAAAACCCGAAAAAAAACCCACTGTCTGTGAAAACAGTTCATCACTGCATCCACAAATGCCAGTTAAAACTCTTAAATGCAAAGAAGAAACCACATATAAATAGGATCCAGAAATGCTGCCACCTTCTCTGGGCCTGAGCTCATTTGAAATGGACTGAGTGGAAGTGGAAAACTGTCCTGTGGTCCGACGAATCATAATTTGAAATTCTTTTTGGAAATCATGGACTCTGTGTCCTCCAGGCTAAAGACCACTCAGCTTGTTATCAGTGCACAGTTCAAAAGCCAGTATTCATGGTGGTGTGCATTAGTGCACATGGCATAGGTGACGTGCACATCTATGAAGGCACCATTAATGCTGAGCGATATATACATGTTTTGGCAACATTTGCTGCCATACAGACAACGTCTTTTTCAGGGAAGGCTGTGATTATTTCAGCAAAACAAAGCCAAACCGCATTCTACATGCATTACAACAGTATTGCTCCATATTAAAAGACTCCAGGTGCTAAACTGGCCTGCCTGCAGTCCAGACCTGTCACCACTGATAACATTTGGCGCATTATGAAATGAAAACTACGACGAAGGAGACCCCAAACTGTTGAGCAGCTGAAATCCTATATCAAACAAGAATGGGAAAACATTTCACTTTCAAAACTACAGCAGCGTCTCCTCAGTTCCCAAACACTAACAGAGTGTTGTTAAAAGAAGTGATGAAACAAAGTGGTAAACAGGCCCCCGTCCCAACTTTTTTGGAACATGTTGTTGGCATCAAATTGAAAATGGGCATATACTTTTCAGAAAACAATAAAATTTCTCAGTTTCAACATTTGATATGTTGTCTTTGTAGTATTTTTTTTTTAATATGGTTTACATGATTTGCATATCATTCATATCATTCATGCATTCTATTTTTAAAAATAGAAAATGGTATATTCTATATAACACAAGTAATAGAACATATATTTTCATGCTGCCTCTCATACTTACATGGGGAGGCTTTTGATCTGAAATAATAACTTAAAAACACTATGTATAATTGTGGGCAACATGGCAGAAATGATTTTTGAAGACATTTTTACTATACACAATAAGTATCACAATGTTCAACTTTTTCTGAAGTTTGCAAACAAGTTGGAACAGACAAAATGTACCAGCAAAACATCCATATTTTAAAAAAAGGCTATAAAAACTATAAGTATGGTGAGATTTTTATTCAACATTTACAAAAAAATTAACTATTTATAAAGGAACAGGACTATTTGTAGTTTGTAGCAATTTGCAGTTAGAAGGACATTCGACTGATTTTCGTAAAATCTTTGTTAAAGGTTAAGATGTAAACAAAGCCATTCAGAGTGGTTTGGTGTGAAATGCTCAGTTGTGGAGAAACCTACCCAGTCATAACTTATTCAGTCAGAATTGTTCACAGTGTTGGTGAATGGAACCAGACATCTGAAGGGCTTAATATTTTTCCCTATAGGTCTCCCTCCCAGATAGTAAAAAGTTTACAAGCGTGCCACCAGATGGCTGAGACACTATGATAGTTTTACGATACATTTGAGAAGATTTTGGCCTTAAACCTAATTTATTTAAATCTGTTAAATGTGGAGAGGTACAAAAGTATGTGGACACCTGACCATCGCACCTATTTGAGCTTGTTGGACAATTCTAAAACCACAGGCATTAACACAGAGTTGTCCCTCTTGCCGCTATACCAGCCTATGCATTCTGTAGGTAGCGTTCTGCTGGCCTCCACCACAACCAGATTCATCCATCAGAGTGCCAGATAGTGTATGTATGATTCATTAATCCAGAGAACACAATTCCACTGCTCCAGAGTCCAGTGGTGGCATGCTTTACACACCTCCATCACTTACAGTTGTCTGGGGCAGATCTAGCAGGGCAAACATTTTATAAACTGACTTGTGGCAAAGGTGTCATCCTCTGACAGTGAACTTTTGAACATTTGTAGTTGCTGTGATAAATGTTATTTATTACAATGACAATATCACATCATCATATTGCCCACCCCTAAATACAGACATCATCAGCTATAAAACAAAACACTTACGTTTACTTGGTAAAAATCAATGTTCTATTTGCTTCCCAAGAAGGTAAGAGACTGACATTTGTTCCATTTAATGTTTTATTAAGTCTGAGTGACTCCTGCATTAGAGAGTAATCTAATCTGGCCTCTTTATCTACTTCTGCTGCTGAGTCAGCGTCCCCTTGCTCTTACCAGACGTTCATATCTCTCTCTCTATCCTCTCAGAGTCAGTTTGAGGACATGGAGCGGGAAATCCAGGCAGAGTTCCAGAATCTTCATCGCTTCCTGGATGAGGAGGAGGAGAGGGACCTGGAGCGGCTAAGACGGGAGCGAGACAGACGATTGAAGGTGCTAAAGGAGAGGGAGAAGAAGATCGCCATGCAGGGCCGTGACCTGGAGAGGGCCATCGAGACGCTGAACTGCAAGCTAAAGGAAGAGGACAGCCCCAAACTTCTGAAGGTGCTTCCCACGTTACTTCACTCATCATCCATGCAACGGCATGTCCACTAAGTATTCACAGTAGCACAGTGCTGTCAAACTCGAAATGTCCAAAGGTATCCAGACACCTGGTCTAATTAAACAGTATTGGCTATTTAGGGCCCACCCATTGCTGTTAAAGATGGTCAATTGCATGCACTGCTGTGTAATCTTCATGGAGAAGCATTGGCAGCAGAGCTGGATGCCAGGCAAGGGAAGTTAAAAGGTCACCACGCCCTCTGGCAAGCGTTGGCTAAAGGGGTGCAAAGCTTACTACCATTAGACTGTGGAGTAATGGAAACATGTTGACCACTGAAAATATTTGGGATGAATTAAAGTGTCGTTTGTGATCTTGAACTAATCACCCAATTAGGAGTGGGCAGTGTGATGAGATTTTGAGGTTATCTTGATAAATTGTTGAAGGAGGTGCAGGAGTTTAAGTATATCGGGGTCTTGTTCATGAGTGAAGGGAAGAGGGATTGTGAGATCGGCGCAGGCTGGGACAGGCGGCAGCAGTAATGCGGTCACTCTACCGGACTGTAGTGGTGAGGAGGCAGCTGAGCCATAAGCCAAAGCTCTCTGTTTACCGGTCGGTCTACATCCTCACCCTCATCTGTGGTCTTGAGCTCGGTCATCCAGGAAGAGCTCAGAGCAGAGCCGCAACTCCTCCACATTGAGAGGAGCCAGTTGAGGTGATTCGGGCATCTGATTAGGGTGCCCCCTGGATGCCTCCCAGTGGAGGTTTACCAGGCATGGCCTACAGGGACAAGACCCCGGGGTCTTCCTAGGACCCGCTGGAGGGATTATATCTCCAAGTTAGCCTGGGAATGGCTTGGGGTCTCCCGGAATGAGCTAGAGGAAGTTGCGGGGGAAAGGGTCATCTGGGATTCTCTGCTCTCCCAACTGCTACCGTGACCCTATCTGGGTTAAAGGGTTAAAGATGACGAATGAATGAATGAATGGATGAATGAATGAATGATAAATTATATCAGGATATGCTTTTCTGAGCATATTGTAGACATCGTCAGATGTCGCTGAAAGAAAGACACCATAATAAGTCCTGTTTAACCAGTTATTGAATAAAGATTATTGTAATCATAGATGTTGATAATATTTTTGAGTTTCAGCCGTACAGGATTTTTTCAGTACTTCCAACTTAATAGGTAGTAATATTAACACTAATTATTAACAACTTTAATAAGTAATATTGTAATGCATTAAAGGCATCAACAGTACTGTCTGATCAGAATGATTTGGCCACAGAATTCTTGTAACAGGAACACTTGCAATTGCAACTTGTCGAGATAATCCGGTCACAAAGTGGTCTTCAAGGAAAAGGCCTGTATTTTGGAGAACACATATCTGAGAATGATTTTCTATGAAATCTTTCCAGCCACATTTGAATTTCTCATTCAAATGTTTCAGTATGATTCTCTTTTTCTTTTACAATCCATGCAGTTACGTCCAGACAAAGTTTAATCCATTACCACTAGTACCCGACCTGACTAAAGCTCAAGTGACACAATGTTCCAACATCCAGTGTAAAGCCTTCCTAGAAGAGTAGAGGCTGTTAGCTCAGGAAAGGGAGCACCAGCTTCCTATTAATACCCTCGATTTTGGCAGAAATGCTGGAAGAGCAGCTGCCCACAAACTTTTGGATATATTGTGTATGTTTAATGACAACTACTCTCCAACAAATGGATGCATTACATGAACAGGGTGGGTGACAATATCCTTAATCTTTTGATACAAGAAGCAATTTTCTGTGCAGTGTGTGAAGTGTACAGAGGTGGGCTGTGTGTTTTGGTGGGCTGGGCCATGGTAGGCTTGGCAAGGACCCGCAGAACATACTGGATGCTACCTGACACTCAGCTTACATAAACAGTCACATGATTGGATGGGTTCCAGCGAATGGAGCCCAGAGAACTTGTGTGTTATGAAATATGACCCTATTTCTTCCTTTACTTTGACTCTTTTAGGAAATTAAAGATCTGCTGAAAAGGTAAGTCTCCAAAAAATCTTCTGTTCTCTCTTTTGTCATCTTTATTGTAACATTTTCTTATATATCATAAAGAAAAATAGTGATTTAAATAAATTATTTTTCTCTTTTGTCGCTGTCTTTTACTGTAGACCCTCTTTAGTGACCCCTCTCTCTCTCTCTCTCTCTCTCTCTCTCTCTCTCTCTCTCTCTCTCCGCCAGATGTGAGGTGAATTTTATCCGCCCGCCTCCAGTGGACAGTGACATTTGCTCAGGCCAGTTTGTGGGACCCATTCAGTATAGGATCTGGAAACATATGAAGACGTCTCTGTATCCAAGTACTCCATTTACCTTTTACCGTAGGCCTCTACTTGAAGGGGATATTCCAGCCTAAAACTAGTTTATTATGTTGTTTCTTGTGTTATACAGTATTGTATTTCAGCATTATACAGTAAGCAAAAGTTTGAACACCGCCAATCAAGTTAATAATAATAATAATAAGTTCAATTTATATAACGCCTTTCTCAAACCCAAGGATGCTACAAACAAAATACATAATCAACAATAAATAAAACAACACAGTACACACCCACCCACACACCTTTCTATACTTATAACAGCTAGCGAGGGGGGATTACAATAACCACAGTATAGAGTCACTTAGCTAGCCCAAAAAGAGTCCTTAGCAGCGGGATAAGTCACTCTACGACTATGGTGCGTCACACAGGCAGCCAGCCCCGGAAGCCTCGAAGGCCGAAAAAGTCCTTAGCCACGAAGGGGGAGCATTATCCAGCTCTATGAGGCTGCCTGGACTGGTTACATGTTGTGTTAATGATCTAGGTAAATATGTTAACTGTATTTCTTAGGGAGTTTTCCTGATATATTCTTCCTCCAAGACTCATCAAAGGGTTGCACACTTCTGGAAAGTTGCTCTGGGACAGTAAAAGCACTATATAAATAAACTGAATTAACTAGCTAAGTTCTATTGCTGGGCAAGAAGGTCATTGAGACTATATGTAGCCATGCTTTCAGTGGGTGGGAAGCATAGTTGGCATAGTTCCTGTTCTCCCTATAGACACGCAGTGATGAGTTAGGTACTGTAGGGCATATTATAGGCTACATAGACAGAACTAAGGAAAAGATAGAATGGCTCTTTGGCTTCACTGACTGCACTTTAAAACTATAATGGCGTTTGGCTTCAGAACACCTTCAAGTCATCACTAGAATTATGCGACCTCAAAGAGAATTCATCTAAAGCCACAGAATGTAGCACTTTGCGTCTTTTTCGAAATAGGTGGGACCGCAGCTGGACTGGAAGCTTCGCAATGAAAATAATCCTCCGTTTCAGTACATTTAGCAAGCTCAGTAACCAACCATAAACAGTAAAATGCCAGACACTTATATGCCGCAAGAGCTGTAGCAAAAATATGTAACTTGCATGTTTAGCATGCAGCTCTTAGTCAAGTAGATAACCAAGCTAGCTAAATCACCGACCATCAACAAAAGAATTATGAAAGTAAAGATGCCATCAAATACCGCCTCTCAACTGACTGTGCTTCATCCTGCCTGTTTTATGTGTTTATTTATAGCCAGTTAGGAAAGACCATGTAAAATGTGTTTAGATGCAGCTAAAAGTAGTGCTTCCTCCATTTTGGATCTTCAGTGCTGCTATATGAAGATACCCCTTCAGTGGTCAATGCAGCCAAAGCAGTAGCACCGGAGCTGGTTTAACGGGAGCCCGGCTCCTTCCTATTTCTCCTGTTATATGGTTGCCTGCGAGCAAGTCCTCAATGAATGGGGTGAATGGAGCTAAATGGCTAAAAACTAAATGTTAAACTAGTTTCTAACCATTTCTGTGGGACTTTGGGATCCATTTTTTCAACATGTTTTTGACCAGTATGATGTTAGTCTTACTGCTACTGAGTGCTGATTGGTTAGTGTTACTGCTACTGAGTGCTGATTGGTTAGTGTTACTGCTACTGAGTGCTGATTGGTTACTGTTTCTGCTACTGAGTGCTGATTGGTTAGTGTTACTGCTACTGAGTGCTGATTGGTTGGCATTACTGCTACTGAGTACTGATTGGTTGCCATTACTGCTATTGAATGCTGATTGGTTGGCATTACTGCTATTGAGTGCTGATTGGTTGCCATTACTGCTACTGAGTGCTGATTGGTTGGCATTACTGCTACTGAGGGCTAATTGGTTGGCATTACTGCTACTGAGTGCTGATTGGTTGGCATTACCGCTAATGAGCACTGATTGGTTGTTGAGCCGATCAGTTCATTGGCTGAGTGAAGTAGTTTGCTCTCATTGATGTCATGAATGCACATGAGGCAATGTTATATAGTCCTGTAACTCAAGTTCAGAGTTCAAAAATATAATAGCAGTGTTGGAATGCCTTATGCAGTTCTGTGTTCGGGGAATCTGTGTATTTTTCCGTGCAAAAAATGATTGAACGTTTACAAACTTTGATCTTGTACAAAAGCTCCCTAAGAACCCATTCATTTTGGACTCGCTCAGGAGCGCCCTCTAGCTTCTGAACAACCTTGAACACATGATTGATCAGCAATTCTCTTCAGTAGAAACTCTCTGGTAGAGCTACTGGTCATGGGTGCAAATTCTTGAGTCAAAGTTCAAAGCTGAACTTCTTGTGAGGTGAAATTAAATTGCTCCAGAAGTTTGTGATGCTAATTTGTTTTTCGCAGCAAATTCCATTGAAATGAATGGATCTTTAGTCGTGAGCGTTCATAGACAAAAGATACTTATGCAGAGAATTTGCTTATTATGTCAAACAGCGTTATTCTTTTAAAGTGTAGTTTGGGACACACTTCAGATTTTTGCTCCATGGCTACTAATTACCCTTTTGCCACACTATGGGAACATAAGCTAATTAGCCACCATGTAAATAGGGTAAATTTAAAGTAAAAATGATCAGAGTGTGTTTAGGACTGCTGCTCACTGTACGCTCCTTCTGGTCTGCAGACATATCCATGGTGACCTTTGACCCTGAGACAGCGCACCCACTGCTTACCGTCACTGCTGGTGACACGACAGTGCACTTTGAGGAGGAGAAGCAGGTGGAGGAGGTGGAGAATAACCCAAAGCGCTTCCACTACTACTACTGCTTGATGGGCCGGGAGGGTTTCAGTCACGGCCGCCATTACTGGGAGGTGGACGTGCGGGGGAAGACGGCGTGGAGGGTGGGCGTGGCCAGAGAGGACATACCCCGTGGCGAGATGGACTCGTCCTCCGAGGCCAACGGCTTCTGGACGCTGGCTCTCAAGAACGGCTCTATCCTGGCCTGCACCAATCCTAAGCCCACGCTGGTCCGATCCGCCACCATGCCTACCCGTATCGGGGTGTTCCTGGACTGTGACAGGGAGGAGGTGTCCTTCTACAATGCTGTCACCATGATGGCACTTTTCTCATTCTTCACAGGCCCCCTGCTGGTGCCCGTCTTCCCATTTTTCAACCCCTGTGACACGGATGAAGGCAAAAACCTCGCCCCTCTCTCCATCTTCTATCCCTCACTCTGAATTTTAAAGGAATAGCTCAACCAAACATGCTAATCGATAGAAGCTAATAGCCACTGATTAGAATGACTCCAAAGGTGACAAAACCCCAATAACGTTCCTAGTATCACCCTTGCAGCATTTATGTTTACCTAAGCGTGCGATAGCGGTCAGTAATTTAGCCCATACAGAAAAAATGTCTTAAGGCCTGTTCACATCGAGTCCGATTTTTTAACCAACAAAAAAAAAAACGCAAAATAATGGACCGCGACCCTGTGTAAATGTTTTAATGGGAGCCTGCCTGATTTTCTGCATTGTATAGATGAGTTTAAAATCAAACTGACCAATCAGAGCACCGTTGTCATGGTTGCAGCCCAAACAAATATGCATCAAGATGACAGCAGTGACAGTCAAAATATATGCTAAATGTGGCAATATCATGCCACAATATGCTACAAATGAGTGCTAGCTAAATTAATTAAGGTCCTGTTGGCATTTCTCACTGCCCGCCTGCTCGGATATGTCCTCATCCTCCTTAAGGTTTTTTGCAGTTTTTGCTTCTGTTGTCCATCTTCACATGATTCATGTATTAAAATTGCTATATCGGTAATGCAAAATAAGTACTGGTGTGTTGAATTTGATGCACTAATCTCTCCAGGCCTCGTATTTGAATTTCCGTTCCATCTTAAAGAGTGCAGCAGTTACACGCTACTACCTGTGCCTGCATCTGAATGTAACTGCCACATCGTTTAAGGTGGAACGGGAATAAGAGGCAGGGGCTGCTGGTTTACATTACTACAGAGCTACTGTCTGAGCATTCTTTTGCTTATATGTGTGAGTTTATACATTAGTTCCCAGTAAGCTGCCCAAAATTCCACTTGGATGTCTCCTCATTTTTCCGATTACCTACTCCAGCATTGGCAGACCACAGCTGAAAGGCTGGAGAATGACGGTGAGTACCTTATGACAAGTTCATCTAGGTGTATCCTTGTCTGCTCATGTCCACAAAAGAATCGCAAACTATTAGCCTTTTTCACTAATGAATGCTCATATCCTTATGTTATTGTTTTGTAGTTGATGGTGTTAAAAATCAAAGTGAAAACTCTGCTTCACATTTATCAGAAAGAGGAGAGGCTCGATGGGCTCCCTGCCATTCGTTTCCTCCTTGAGTGAGAGGGGCAACAAGCAGAAGCAGAGGCTTGAATTCCCCCCTGCCATGTGAAAATACCTTCAGAATCGCTTGTTATACAGCTTCAGCTCCTGTATGAGGTGGTGGAACTGCCCGTGTTGTTGTTTTTTTTCTGTAGAATGGAGTGAACCCCAAAAAAAGAGTGTTGTCTGAAAGAAAACAGTACTTGGTGTGAATAGGCCTTCAGGCCTGGATATCTTTATTTGCACACGTTCCCAACCACAAGATGGTGCACAGCCTCAGAGATGTGTTTGCCTAATGCTATTCAGTGGCCATTCATTTTCAGTCATCGAGTGCATTTTCATGCAGTCAATAATCCAATCATAATCAGATTTATGCAGTTATCTGATTACTTAAATGATCATGTAAACAGCATACTCCGATTTTTAGCTCAGTGACCAGATTTCTTAGTGCATGTAAACGCTTACTCTGATTTCTTTTGGATTTCTCAGTTTGCGCATGTGCAAAAACAGAAGGCGGTACCGGAAATAAACAAGCAGTGCTGCCGAATGCTGAAACCAAATACATGCTTGACAAAATAAAGAATTTAAATTATTTTTAATCTTCTAGATGATGTATGTTTATATTTTCAGGTAAACTGGCGCCATGATTTAGAAAAAAGAGCCATACGCAGTTTGAGTTTTACATTACGTTTACGTCACGTCTTCTTCTGTGAGTTTATTGGTTGGTTGCAAAGCAGAAATCTGATTATTGTCTAACTCACGTAAACCCAGAGTTTTCTCATTATCTGATTATTCAAGTGCATGTAAACACGTTGATCGGGCTACTGACAAAATCTGATTTTCTGCAGTTATCAGATTATTAAGTGCATATAAATGCATAGTTTTTGTTGTTGGCTGAGCTATTCCTTTAAATACATTCTAGACAGGTGTGCATTGTGTAGGGGTGTAAACATGCATCAATCTAACGCAACTGCATTGATGATGAAATGTTAGAATTAATTATAATTGCTAAATTATATAATACATACATATTATACATATATAGTACATAGTACATATATATGTACTATAGTCCATACAGTCCACAAATGAAAACTAAGCCCATTTTGTATTCATTGTTTCTGTGATGTCATGAGAACCAGCTCATTTACATATCATTTACACATCCACCTATTCATCTTAGAGCAGATTAGCTCCGCCCACTCACACTGAAGTTATAAGCAGTGTTTCAGCTCTGAGTGCTTCTTGAATGAGGCAGCCAATCAGAACAGCACTCATTTATCTAACATCAGTCTCAAAGGCACAGAATCACCTTATTTAATGCTAAGGGTTAAAGAGAGGTTGGAAAATTGTCATGTAAAAACGAATTATAACCATTTTTGGTACACAAAAGCACATAAAAAGTGGTCCTCAAGGGAAAAATTAAAAAAATAAATAAAATTTCCAGGCTATTTCAAATATAAACAAATTTAAAAATGTGTATTATTGTTATTTGTTATATTCAGCTACTGTATAGTTCCCATTTTTCTAAAGAATCGTGATTAAATTAAACTGTTGTGAGATCTGAGATTTTAAGAAGTCTTTAAGAATTGTGAGATTTTTGGCCTGCTGGTGTTTTCAAGTTTTGACAACAGCTTTAACTAAACTGTTAATGGATCAAATGTTTTTTCATTTGTTTTGTCGTGTGAATGTAATTCTGAGATGTTTTTGTTATTGACTTTAATAAAAAAATGTAACTGATTGTGACTATAAATGCCTTCTCTCATCTCTCTCTCTCTCAGGCCATCCTCCTGGTTCAACACTGGTGCTAAAATTACTACTTGCAAACATGTCCACTCTTGAGGAGACTGGGAAACCATTCAATTTGATCATCCCTCAAAAGAACTCAGTAACACTGAGATTAATAACTGATCATCACATTGATTTATCAGTCTACTCAGGCTTTAGCAGAACTCAGTAACACTGAGATTAATAACTGATCACATTGATTTATCAGTCTACTCAGGCTTTAGCTGACCTCAGTAACACCGAGATTAATAACTGATCATGACATTATCAGTCTACTCAGGCTTTAGCAGAGCTCAATAACACAGATTAATAACTGATCATCACATTGATTTATCAGTCTACTCAGGCTTTAGCAGAGCTCAGTAACACTGAGATTAATAACTGATCATCACATTGATTTATCAGTCTACTCAGGCTTTAGCAGAGCTCAGTAACACTGAGATTAATAACTGATCATCACATTGATTTATCAGTCTACTCAGGCTTTAGCAGAGCTCATTGACACTAAGATTAATAACTGGTTTTACTAGAAACTTCAGTGTTTGTAAAGAAGCCATTAACTACTCTTTAAAATTCATCTAACGAGCACATTTGCTACATACCATGCACTGATCTTAAAATAATTAATAAACAAGCATTGCTGTTTCTTCTGAAGTTTTTTTGTTTAGTCAATGAATATTCTAAAAATATTCTGAAAACTGTAATGGTGTCCTTCAGCAAAGATGTTTAAGCTATGTTGCTAAATGTAATTAAAAAAAAAAAAGTTAAACTTTCACTTATCTGTTTTCTTAAGCAGGCGTTTGGTTTATTTATCATATAGGGTATCATATCAGTTACATTTCTACAGCCAATCACAGTAGACTAATTGGATATTCTTTATGAACATTGCGCTTGAACTTAATACATAATATATTATACCTATATATTCTCAAGTACTTTTAAACGCATTTATTATTTACTTGGACTTTTACATTTTATCTCCATACCTTCCATTTCAGTTAAGATTTTAACACAGAACAGAGCCCCAGCGTTCACTTAAGTACAATTTTGCTGTACTTTTTCCATCTCTGTTGATGAATTAAGAGAGGTGTCAGAGTTAACCAGTTAGATGTTTTACTTCCATCCACCACAAGAAGGCAGTGTTTAACAGCCCCGACTGATTCACTGTGCACACATTAAGCTTTACTGAGTTATTTTTTATGTGCGGCCTCCCTATTTAAACATTTTGGATCGGGAGTTTGTTCTAAAGAAAACCCACCCATAAAAAGATTCAGCAGCTTGTACAAGCTATCCCAATGGCAAACACTTTCCCTGTTTAATATCACAGGCTTGAACTAAAGTACTTATGATTCACTGTAAAACAGCAGTACAGAAGTCTATAGAATGTCACTTAAACGTCTGACACACTTCAAAAGTCAGTGTTTCAGTCAGAAGTAGTGTCAAACCCAGATTAAACCCAGCTAAGTAAGTTTTGAAATTCTAGCTTCTACAGCCATATCGGGCACTATTTGTCAAGTATGCATGTGGCTGAACCTTAAATGATAAAAAAGTACTTATAAAGTGAAGTTTTTTTGAAAATGATCACAATATCTAGTGATGGGCGACTGAACGTTCTTCTGCTCCCCGTGATAAAATCACTGTAACTTGCGGCCTCTCGTGGTTTACGTTAATTATATGTCTATGGAAAATATTCTTGCGTATTTTAAAACTGTTGCATAGGAAGAATATGGCTATATATCTCTGTTGTCAGAAGAAAACCTTGTATCTCCAAAATGATAACTTTACAGGACAGGGAAAAAGCCTACTTTACTTTTAATGTAAGTCAATGGAATCAGACTTTTTTTTAAAGTCATTTTGCGTTGTTTCTTTTGGTCCATGCATCATGAAATTTACACACAGTGTAAAGAACAACAGGTATTTCCAAATCATATCAAAAACTGAAAAACGACAAAAATGGAGATACAAGGTTTTCTTCCGACAACAGCGATATGTATGTAAACCGTCATAAAAAACGGTATATTTTGCAGTA